ACCTGATTGTATGATAGAAAACCATCATCGATAAGAATGGAGACTATTTCATTTAATAAATGTTTTGTTTTGATGTACAAGTTGTTCGGATTTTTTCATCTAAAAAAAAAGCGAAATTAATTTCTTGACGACCTAATATTTGTTTGTGCATGCAATTTGACATTATTTTTTTCTTTTCAACATTATTTATTCGTCGTTATGGCAACAACAGGTTTCGTAAATGACCCAAACATATTCTGTTATACTTGTGGTAAATTTGTTGTAAAGAAACAAAGGCAAAACATTACAGAATTCGTCAAAAGAGACGCGTATTTTGGAATAAAACTTGGAGACCAAGACAAATCATGGGCTCTGCACAAAGTTTGCACGGTTTGTGTCGAAGAGTTTAGACAATGAACTAAAGGTAAGAAAAAAAAGTCGTTGCCATTTGGAATTCCAATGGTCTGGCGTGAGCCTAGAAACCATGAAGATGGCTGCTATTTTTGTTCATGTAACGTGCAAGGCTACAACACTCAAAATAAAAAGAAAATTTCTTATCCGAACCTTCAATATAGTATAACACTTGTTGATCATGGATTTGGTGTACCTGTATCTACTCCACCGGAGACTCTAGATACAGTTTCATCTCATTCTGAATCTGATGATAGATGTTTTCAACCTGAAACGTCTGGTGAACCACAACTTTTTATACAACATGAACCGAATGATTTGGTGAGAGGTTTGGGCCTTCCAAAGAATTCTTCAGAGATTTTGGGGTCCAGACTTCGGGCTAATAACTCACTTTCTCCAGGGACATCATTTTACTGGTATAGAAATCGTGAAAAAGAGTTTATACCATACTTTTTGCAAGAAGGTTCACTGGTTTATTGCAACAATATTGCTGAATTAATACTAATGCTAGGAGCTGCAGTCTATGAACCAAGTGAGTGGCGATTGTTCATTGATTCCTCTAAAAGAACTCTAAAAGGTGTCTAATATATATGCATTTGTTCCTATTGCTCATTCGGTTCACTTGAAGAAAACGTACGAAAATCTCGAACTTCTTCTTAATAAGGTCAAATACAAAGAACATGGTTAGCTACTTTGTGGAGACTTAAAAGTTCTTTGTATGTTGTTGGGTCAACAATTCGGTTATACAAAGTTCCATGTTTTTTGTATGAATGGGACAGAAGAGCACAAAATCAGCACTGGATAAAGAAGCAATGAACGTGAAAGTTTGGTTGACACAAAGATAGTCCTATTACCTTCACTTCACATAAAACTGAGATTGATGCCTTGTTTTTGAATTTCGCGCAAAGCTACACGAGGACTATCTGCGCTAGCCGTCCCTAATTTAGCAGTGTAAGACTAGAGGGAAGGCAGCTAGTCATCACCACCCACCGCCAACTCTTGGGCTACTATTTTACCAACGAATAGTGGGATTGACCGTCACATTATAACGCCCCCACGGCTGAAATGGCGAGCATGTTTGGTGTGACAGAGATTCGAACCCGCGACCCTCAGATTGCGAGTCGAGTGCCTTAACCACCTGGCCATGTCGGGCCGAACTAAAAGAAGAGGAAATAATATTCCTACATAATATAGAGAGAAGAATCTGTGTACAAACGAAAGTACCGCAGAATAATATGTACGTTTATTACAATAACTAAGGATGGAAACGAACTCCTCAACCTTAAGAAAACAACAATTTGACTAACAACATTTTTGATAGTTTTGATCCTGATAATTTAATTGTGAACCTCACTAATATTACACTAAGTAACCAATGTAAATCCGCCCTAGCGAAAGGACTTAATTTCTCTCTTCCTCCGCGAAAACTGAATTATGCCAATTTTCTTTAATCCTTCCAACTGCTATACAGAAATCTGCAAGACCTTCCCATGTACGAAAAAGGCAATCTTAATCAATCCCATGATTTTTTTATTACTAAATTAAAAATTCTTGCTCTGTCTACATTTTATAATTTTAATAGTAAGAGAGAACCTAACCCTCTAACCCTGACGAAATCTTAGCCTTAAAAGAATTGTCACTAAATAAAAACATCCATGTTACACGCCCCGATAAAGGCAACGCCATTGTTATTCTAAAAAACAACCTTGTTTTTACTCCTATTTTTCTGAAGTTCCTATAAGATTATTAGTGTATATTAAGTATAAAATATAGCAGGTTATTTATCAAACCTTAATATACTTGCTTATTATGAAAGTTTGCTATCTTATTTGTGTCTATTTTGCGAGTGAAGGCTTATATCGATAAAATTCGGGATTCGATCCCGTGCGGCTGACACAGTGATTTGTAAACTTAAAAAGTAACGATGAAAATCTCGGAACATTTAATACGACACTTGGTGAATTGTGTCATTTGTTCCCTGTTTCACCACACACACAAATAAAGTTACCGCAGGATTGTTTGGTTTGAGTTTCATGCAATGCTACACGAGGGCTGTCTGCTCTAACCGTCCCTAATTTAGCAGTGATAAACAAGAGGGAAGGCAGCTAGTCATCACCACACACCGCCAACTCTTAGGCTATTCTTTTACCAACAAATAGTGGAATTGACCGTCACGTTATAACGCCCCCACGGCTTAAAGGACGAGCATGTTTGGTAGGACGGAGATTCGAACCCGCGACCCGCAGATTGCGAGCTCAGCGCCCTAACCACTATTACACTATATTATAGATTACAAAACATATAGTTTCTTTTGTACAGGTGCCAAGACATTAAGATTGAAGTGATACAATAAAATCAATATAAAAAGCTTTAATTATTAGGAATTCTCTCTCTCTCTCTCTATATATATATATATATTGCGTTAGTTCTATTTATAATTTCCTGTGCTCACGACGAAATTTTGTGATAACTTTATTTTGTCTACATTTAACTTAACCTATCAAGGTAGGGCTATATTCACTCTGAATGAATTTGTTTTGTCTGCTTTGAATGTGACTATTCAAGGTAGAGATATACCCATTCTGGATAACTTTATTTTGTCTACATTTAACTTAACCTATCAAGGTAGGGCTATATTCACTCTGAATGAATTTGTTTTGTCTGCTTTGAATGTGACTATTCAAGGTAGAGATATACCCATTCTGGATAACTTTGTTTTGTCTACTTTCAAGGTAGAGATATATATACCCATTCTGGATAACTTTGTTTTGTCCTACTTTGAATGTGACCTTTCAAGGTAGAGATATACCCATTCTGGATAACTTTGTTTTGCTTACTTTGAATGTGACCTTTCAAGGTAGAGATATACCCATTCCGGATAACTTTGTTTTGTCTACTTTCAAGGTAGAGATATGCCCATTCTCAATAACTTTGTTTTGTCTACTTTGAATGTGACCTTTCAAGGTAGAGATATACCCATTCTGGATAACTTTGTTTTGCTTACTTTGAATGTAACCTCTCAAGGTAGAAATATACCCATTCTGGATAATTTTGTGTTGTCTACTTTTGAACGCGACTTGTCAAGGTACAGATATATCATCTGAATGTGACCTGTCAAGATAAAGGTCAACTTTATTTTGTCTACTTTGAACGCAACGTCTCATTTTTGGCACGCTTGAAATAATGACTATTTTTAATAAATTCTTAATTTTTAGTTTCAGAACGTTGCCACTTTATTTTTTTAACTTTGTATTTACCGATTATCTTGGACAAAAAAAAAGATATTTCTTTGTATAATGATGGATCTCCGTAGTCAGTGTATTAGAAAAACCTTGCACTAAAAAATACGAAATGTATTAATCTAGATTTCATTAGAACCTTTGCAGTCAGTATAAGGATATAAGTGGGAAAGGAGAATTCCCAGAAGGGGAAAAAAACAAGATAAAATATTTTTTGTTATACTTCTAAGCAGCCATGTTGGTTATCGATCAGGTTAGAGATTTGTTAATTAGCTTCAAAACACGAATGCCGACTCCTTAGCCCCTCTCTGTGAAAGGTAGGGCCTTAGCTTGGTAATGGAAAATAACAGACTAATAGGTGTGGGCTGTTTTAATGAACAGCGAGGTGGGTCTTACAGAAAGCTTTAGCACAGAGCTCAAAATTTGGTCGAACAAGCAGCTTATAAGGAATTTTCTCTTTAGAATCACATGTGGTAGGCATGGAATAACGTTACTTCGCCTTATTGTGTATTGAAACTGACTAGTTCAGACCTGGTAAACTCAGCGCAGGGAGCTCTTTAGCTGCGCAGTCGTTACTTAGCCGTTCTTCAAGGCCGACATCAACTAGACTAGGAACACTAGTTGATACTTGACCTTTTGCTTCAGAATGGCGGATTACAGAATCAGGAGGCTTTATAAGTGAACTCAACTTGTTGGAGATTAACATATTTACATATCTTAGCATGCGTGATGAACATTTATTTGTATTTTTGTTTTCAAAGATGTTCCTTCAACATCAAGAAAAATAAATATACTAATAACCTTTGAAATATAGATCATTTCAAGTGAGGACTTTACTCTAGTTTTGCATTAATAATTAAAACATATATAATGTATAAAGTATCATTCTCACATCGCTAAACACAAATAAAGAAACTTAGTCTCTGTGGAACTTTAAATACGTTCGTCATCTTATATCTATACAGCAATCTATTTCTTCTTCTTGTTCATGCTGTTGAAAATCGCAATTAAAATTTTTTTTAACCCACCACGGTCGTTTTTTTCGAGTTATTATTACCAATAAACACTTTTGAGTGAAAGTAAAATATAGTATATAATAATATATCAAACACATCATATTTGCTGTATCCAATGCCGACGAGGTCTTTCGCAAAATACCAGGACTATTAAGGCCGGATGGGATATAACAAACATAGTAATGGTTGAGAAGCTATTTTTAACAATACATGGACAATTTTACAAAATATAGAAATCAAACCTAAGCAGTTACACAGTTAAAGTTCTTATTCCTCACTAATAATTTATAAACAAACTATATTGCAGCTAATTGTCGTTTTTTTTTTTATATATAGAAATAATCCAAATTTGTGAATACAAGGGGTTTCTTCAGCATTTTCATTCTCTCCTAACACTTGTTTACAAACGTCAATTTCTCGATCGAAGCTAACGCCAACCGCCAAAATTTCATTCACAAGTTTTCGCCAGAGTTTCGCCTCCACCACCAGTTACCTGAGGAGGCGTTTCTCATCTGGAGACTTATCAGGAGAAATCGAAGATGAACAAGAACGTCACGAACAGCCCCCTCGTGTTGAGCCTCTGCAACAATCACGTGATTCGGACCTTTCCCTTAACCTGCGACCCAGCTCTACTACAAGTGCACCTAGCTCTCCCGCCAAAAATGTCACTTCATTCTTGACGAGGGGCACTTCCTTAACCGGAACATCATCCGTAAGAACTGCTTACACCAAAGAAAAGCACAAGACCTTGCTGATCATGGATGACTTCAACACCGACTGGTAAGTTTAGGGTGCAGGGTTTGACATCTAGCCGACCCTTGACCCTATATCTTTATTGCTGTAAGTTATATTAATGAAAGGAGTTTACATTTTTTGAAAAAATACTAGTATTATCTTTCGTTTTCACTTGGCCATTGTTGTTGTTGTTGTTTTTTTCAAAGAAATTAATAGAAACTTATAGTCGGTGACTTATTTTTATAAGAAATAACTGTGTAAAATGTGCTGTATTCTATAATATGTTTGAATGTCATATTGCAGGCTGAAAAAAAAGCAAATGAAACTGTGGATAGTAAATATGATAATTAAAGTTACAAAATTTATGATAAAAAAACATTACTTTTACTAGAAATATAACTAGTCTCTTATTAATATTATGAGTTGTTTAACGTGTCTTCTTCATAGATTGATTTACTAATTACAAGCTGTTATGGTATAATTATAATATTAAATGTAATCTCTGTTATTTGTTCTACAGGTCCAAATATTTCCGAGGGAAACGTATCCAAGGCGACTGGGATATCAGGGTTGAGCAGGTAATCAGACAAATACCTAACAATAGGTTTAGGTTTACTAAATAAAGGAATATTTCTAAGACAATACTTTAATATAGATCTGAAAAAAATAACGGAAAAAGTAATTTAATAAACAATTATGGTATTGTTGAAGAGAAATGAAAAAAGTTAAGCAGCTCAACATATAATCGGTTTATAAAAAAACTTCGTGGTTTATTCTCCTGAAGATGGTGGAATTATTTCCACCGAAACATGTAGAGTTTTTAAAAGTTTTTTTTTACTTATATTTTTTTTAACTTTACAAATAAATTATTGTGCAAGTAAAAAACGTTGATGTTTCGTTTGATTAATTTTATTAATAATGTGATTGAGGATTTTTTTAGACTTAGCGAATCAAATAAACTGGATTTGTGTGATATCACCAGGAAGTTTTTTTTTTGTTTTGTTTTTAGAGCAAAGCCACATTGGGCTCTCCGCTGTGTCTACCGAAGGTTTGGTTTGTTTGTTTTGAATTTCGCGCAAAGCTACACGAGGGCTATCTAATTTAACAGTGAAAGACTAGAGGGAAGGCAGCCAGTCATCACCACCCACCGCCAACTCTTGGGCTACGCTTTTTACCAACAAATAAGGGGATTGACCATAACTTTATTCCCCCCCCCCCGCCCGGATGAAAAGGGGAGCATGTTTGGTGGGACGGGGATTCGAAACCGCGTCCCTCATATTGCGAGTCAAGCGCCCCAACCACCTGGCCATACTCCGCCGAAAGAAATCGACCTGCAAATTTGAGTGTCGTAAGTCCGTAAAGTTACCGCTGTCCCACCGAGGGGAATCACCAGGGGAGATTGCAACTTTAGTATACTGTTTTAATTAATAATACCAAAATAAATTCTCGAACGTATGAAGAATGAACAAGCTAACGAACCAAGTTCTTCCAGTATGCCTGATCGATTTATAAACACCAATATTTTCCAATTGAAAAGAATCGGAATAGGCACTATTTTATATGGTACATATCAACAGCATAAAACTTCAAACAATAATTAATGTGTAATTGCTAATAATTATCGGCAAAAAAAAAGGCTGGATCGTGTCCTACTTCAAGGCCTAGGCCTCTGGAAAATTAATTAATGAACTGGTTTATGATAAATGTGCCAATTTAATATTGTTATTACAAGATAACACAAGCATAGTGATTCCGCTTTCATGCAAATTGACCCCTCACATAAATCGTACTTTTGTGAATGTCTTGTAATATTAAAAACAAATATTTTAACACAATTACAGCTGTGAATATTATAGTTCTTATTTAACTCAATTAAGAGGGGGGGGGGGCGTGTTTTATCTCCTAAAAGTTGATGCAATATTAGTCATTTGAATAATGCGATTTGATAGGAGGAAGGTACTTTATATACAAGATTATTACTTATGTAGAAATAGTCATAAACATAGACTATAACGAACAATCGGGATTTTAACAGCTGACTGAAAAATGCATTTTAAAATTTAGATGAAAATGAACGCTGGAATTTTTTTGTTTTTCAGGCTGAATTGAAAGACATAACCTTGTCGGCTCATTCAGAAACAGGAACCACAGTCAGCATGGTGGTGGACAGAAATGGTACTAAAGTTGTCAGGTAGGTATATCTCTAGAATAATTCTGAACACTACACGTTCAGACTAGAGAATGTAGGTTGATAGGGTTAGCATCAAGGGTTGCTAGGCTTGTTGATATGATTTTGACCTTAGGTTATTTTTATAGGTTTAGACTCTAGAACTAAAATCTATGTTTGAGTGGAGAAGATTAAACCATTTTGTAAATTTAGTAACATTTTTTTTCCCATTTTGTAGAATATTTGTGGAAAAATATACATCTTGAAACTACACCAAAATTAAAGTTTGGTGAAATTTTGTAGCGAGTAGTGATCGTATTTCAGCAAATAGTCTGTAGTGAGAATGTTCGTGGGAAAATGGAATTAACAGTTTTTTTCTAGATTTTATACATTTTAACATACACGTAGTTATCCGACAATATAAACTTGCAGCAATAAGTATAGTGGGATGACTAAGTGCATGTGAATTGTGACATACAAGAAATGCATTAAGTTTCTATATGGTGGCATGCTAGAAAGTTTGAGATTGTTGTTAAGCGCAAAGCTACACAATGGACTATCTGTGCTTTGCCTACGGCGAGTATCGAAACCAGATTTTTAGCGTTACATACTTTCTGTTGAGCCACCGGGGAGCATGAAAGAAAGACATTCAGATTTGTGTGCGTGTGATGGCATACAGGAAAGACATTAAATTGTTTGTATGATGTCATGCCGGAAAGACACTGAGATTTTTGTATTATGGCGTGCAGGAAAGATATAGTATTTGTTGTATGATGATCTACCAAAATGTTTTTGTTTGTTCGTTGGTAGACGCAAAGCTACATAATGTGTTATCTGTGTTTTGTTCACCGCGGGTATCGAAACCTCATTTTAGCGTTACATGCCATCAGACTTGCTGCTGAGCTACGGGATGGCATACAGGAAAGACATTAAGTGTAAATGTAGGGTGACATGCAGGACAAACACTGTTTTTGTAAATTAGCAGGCAATAAAGACATTAAGTGTTTATATAATGGCATGCAGAACGAACATTACGTTTTTGTTTGTTGGCATAATAAAAATACTATGTTTTTTGTATGATGGTGTGCAGGAAAAACATTAAGTTTTTTTGTGTGATGGCATGTTGGAAAGACTGTTTTTTTATAATGATATGTAGGAAAACACTAAATGTCTTCCATGGTAGCATATAGGAAATACATTAAGTTTCTTATATGGAATGTAGGAAATATTAAGTTTTTGGTATGATGGCACGCAGGAAAAACACTTTTTTTTGTACTGATGTGGATAATTCTATTCCATCAGAATATCATTAAGTTGTAGCTAAAAGTGCATGTTATTTGTGCAATAGCTGAGTAAAGAACCAAATTAATAATTAAAGCTTAAGAAGTGAAACGTCGAACATGGAAAAATTAAATCGCGTTTTCAATTTTTGTTTTAAGTTTGGCTAAATTTTCAAAAACTAGAACTTTCGGTATGAAAGAGTCTGAGTTGCTAATATGAGAATCTTTGGAGCAAATGAGAAATTTTCCACGTTCTCTTTATTTTACATTTTAAAAGGTAACATGAGAGAAATTCTCAAAAAAGTAGCTCATTTTTATGTTCACAAAACAAATATAATGGACACAGAATCTCACGTTACATGAACTGAAGCACCACACGATGTCAATGTATAAAAACACTATTTTTAGATTCGTGGTTTAGTTATGATAAGTAATACTTTCAACAACAACCTCAACAAAACAGACGAAGTAACAAAGGCTTCGTATAAGTTGAATTTCAATTATCTACCTCTTGTGGCCACAGAATAATGTTCTTGTGTTACCATCCGTGTGTTTAACTATAATTATGTATAGATGTATTAGGGTATTTTACAAGAATGCAAGTAAAACTAATTTTTGGTTTTGAAGATAATGCCCCATGTGGCTATAGGTATGGGCATTTAGAGTTTACCTAATCATTTGTCATTCGAAAAGCAATAAGTGTGCAATATTTGATTCTGTTCTCCCGAGTAATCTTCCTCCTTAATTATGTTTGTTATAACTACTCAAGTAACGAATCTTGAAGGATATTTTATAAATTAAAGGTAATTTGCAAAAGAAACAAAATACAGAGAGCGTGAATCATCGCCAAACGATACATCATTTACTTTCGCCAACATTTCAAAATGATGAAGTGGCTTAAACATGCGAGGGATTGATGCTTTCTTAGGCTTAATGAACGTGACAAATCATGCATGGCTACTGCTGTTTCTTTTACTTCAAATTTCGCTTAATTTGATTCTCACAAATTAACATTTCACACCTGTTGTACGCCGCAAGTCACTGATATGTCACAAATGGCGTTTTTACCCATCTCTGATTAGAAATCCATAAAAAATTAAGAGAAAAGTGGAGAAAAAGAAATATCTGCGTAGTATTTTCAAAATCACGTTTATTGCCATTATCGTCGTTAAATGTCATTTGATGGATTAAGTAAGTTTTACCCATACTTTTGATTTAAGCTTAATTCGCTGAAATTTGTTCAAAATTAAGATTTCTTTTAAATTAGATACATTTGTTTTTAAATTAGCCGTTTCAATATTTTGCCTTATCGATTACCAGATAGGGGTTGTCTGACAAGTGCGCTTAGTTTCTGTCATGTAGAAGCAGATGAACCATAAAGGGCCTCAAGAAATTTCCCGGTGGGACAGTCACAAATGCCAAAAATAAAACTTTCTGATACACTTTGATAGTCTAAATTTTTCAAATTATAAATTAACAAGCTAAGGTAATTTAAAAAAGTATATGTTGATGCTATGATAAATAACACAAAAACCCTAACTTTCACACAATTTATTTATAACATATTATTACATTATTCGTTATTACCTCACCAAAGGTTTTGTATAAGCTTTAATAATTCAATATGTATATACTTAAAACATGGTATACACTGTGCAATGGTCAGGGTAAGTTTGTAGGAAGAGGTAGCGACAAAAAATAGTGGCGGTAGGGGTGCTTTCTGTTACCCGTTTTCAACAATCAGCTTTTAATGTCCTTCCACAGATTTCACGTGATTAAATAATAGATGGTCATTGGTTGCAGAAGTATCTTATGGGTCAAAGTTGAAAGGTCACGGGTCAAAGTAGGAAGTTGGTATAACTCAAAACACGGCTCTTCATATCAGCCTTATGGTCGCTGTTGGAGTAAAAATTTCAGCTGACTTTATGTATCATTGCACCAGATGATGGCCATTTTTTTTTCATTGCATTTCTCCATAGGTAGTGCTAGCGCACTCTCTGAGATGTATAAGGCGTTTGTGTGGCCTCCCCCACAATGTGTGTATGTTGTGTTCTACAAAATTAATAAAGCTTTTTGTGTGTGTAAGGACGTGGCACCATCTGTGAATGTAGTTAACGTTAACTTACATCAAAGATAATAAACGCTCAGTAAGAGCAATACCGGGGAGTGGAGAGAATTGTGAATCCTGCGTTAACCTGCCTCTTGTTTGGTTAAGTTTGGCTTAGCGACCTAAGAGTAGTTAGATAAAGGACAAACAGACAGACACATAAATTGTTTTGCTTTATATATGTATAGTAGTTATCAAAAGACAGTAAATAATGTCAACGCACGCACATCTTCACCACCAGTGTGTTCCAGGCTGATCTCAACAGGGTGTTGGCCGGTCACTAAACGTTTTCCTGATTTAAAAAAAAAGTTCCATTCCGATATTGTTGTCATGTGACTCCAACTGCTCATCGTTATTAATCGCTGACATGCTTTTCACTTTTTCCAGGTCTTTTCGCCCGGATTTCCTATTGATTCGACAACACATACGAGATGCTTGTGAGGATTACAGAAATCTATTGTTAGGATTTAAATATGGCGGTGTTCCAAGTATCAACACCTTGCATAGTCTCTATAACTTTCAAGATAAGCCTTGGGTGGTGAGTACGGACATTTTTTGTAACTTTCACATTCTCTTTTTTTTGTTAATTACACTCTCATATTTCTGTCAATAAGTTTGAGATAAGCTTTGGGTGATGAGTACTTACTTCTCTGTAACTTTCACCTTTTCATTTTTAACTACACTCTTACATATCTGTCAATACCTTCAAGATAACCCTTGGGTAACTCTGTAACTTCCACGTTCTCTCTTGAACTGCATTCTCTTATCTCTGTGCTGATATTATCCAGCTACTTGCAATAAGTACTAAAATGATTTTCGTTGAGAAAAAACTTAATGATTTTATAGTCTGAAAAACTTCAAATAGAAAAACTAACTAACTAAACTTAAAAACACTATTTATCTTTTTACTCTCTAAGTTTACTATTCTTCATTTTTAAGAGAAAGACTTGGTTTCAGAGATAAAGTATTTCGACAAGCTGTTTAACGAAAGATGATTTGGAAAAGAAGTTAAAAGTGAGTGTAACATATCTTGAACATGAGCATATTCCGTAATTAGTTTAATAGCTCTTATTCAAAGCTAACCCTAGCTATTTCATCGCTCTGGTCAAAATGAATTTTGTCGTCCCCTCTTTCACATTCACAAGAAAGCACATGCACGGCACTTATCATAAAATCCTCGAGCGAGAAGTGAAACATTGAAGTATTTGGAGAACCGCGAGAAATACAAGTTACCAACCGTGCTGACCAATCAGAAGACGTCGAGTAAAGCTGGGAAGACTTGCATGTAAATTTATGTTAACGATGAGCAAATACGTCGCCAATGTTCTCGAAGAAGAAGAAGCCACGTGATCAGAGTCTATAGGAATGAATTAATAAAGTCTGTTTTACGATACTCCAAGAATAATTCAGACCCTAGAACTTTTGTGTAGAGGTACTAATATTACTCAAAAATTACATTTTACTAACTATTTAAAGGCCATATATTCAGTTATTACAAAATAAAATATTTGAAAAAATACTTAAATATCTCGACAATTAACATTTTATTAATGATTATGTGTATCGTCATATGTATGTAAGTTAATTACAAATTAGTTTTAGTAATGCCACCCCTGGAATTCTGCTTCCCTGCACAACTGCTCACTTTGTCTATAGGACAGGCTAGATCTGCTTTGATATAAGACAAGATGCAATTATTTTCTTATTATTACGAGGTTAATCCCAATTACCTTGGGGACCGGTCAATATTTTTGTAAGAGTGTAAGACAACAATTTGTACACCTGGTTGCCTGGCCCAGTCGCAACCATATAGGACAAGAATATTTGTAGAGCACCATAACCACCAGAAAAAAAAAGTAAAAGAAACAACGTATGTATCATATATATATATGTGTGTGTTTATATATATATATGATACATATATAACTAAACTTACCACAAATTCAACAATAAAGAGTCTAAAACTTTAAATTTCCTTCCCTAGAAAAAAACAACAACCAAAATCACGTACAACGTACCCACGTACGTAAGAGCAAAGCTGAGTTTTATTAACAGCACGTAACACTTTATGTTTATTTCTCGTGTAATAGTATTCCTAAAAAGCTAAATCGTAGTATTGAGTCCCTGCAGAAAGACACGAGACCGTGCTTCACGGTAACATAATACATAAAAGTTTGCTCCTCGGCTTTGAAATATCAAAATGACGTATATTTAAAACAAATATCGTTATGCTTGTGATATAAATGACACATCAAAAATATTAACCTGTTTTATATCAAATCAAGATCACCACAGCATAGAAAAAAACATTACGTGTTTCTTGATATATATAGTGAAAACTCCAGCATTCTTGGTTTTTCTTTTGCTTACGTATCATTTCTTTTATTTTCTATCGCTTTATGGATCACCGACATATTTGAGAGCTTATAACACTGAAATTCATGGTTCGATCTTCGCGACCGGAACAGAATAAACAGCCGTTTGTGCAGTTTTGTCTTAATGATATAAGTAAGCATGTTTCCGAAGATAACATTTTATTGTGTGAATCCCCAACCCCCCCAAAAAAAACAACAACAATAACACCAACAATAAAAACTCTCAATATATCTTGTGTTTTATACCCTCGGACAGCTCTTTTCTAGCCGACGGTATCCCCCTGGGCAAACAAAATGTCCGAAGTATAGCAATCAAAATCTCCTTAAAACCTCAGCAGGTAGTAGAAAGTTTCACGTGACTATTATTGGACACATAAAATCTGTATTCGGTTAACCGCTCAACTGTTCTATTGACCCTCTCGATACCCATAGATTTTTAGATGACCCCTACTGGGAGCTACAGTTGATCTTTTCGATAGTGCTTCATTGATATGCTCATTCGCTTTAAACTGAACAAAGCCCTCTGGTAGCGTGTGTTGTTGACTTGCTGCTTTACCTCTGATCGGTGGCACAGTGACAGTTATATCCGAACGTTAGAGATTTCCAGCTTTTCCGTTTAGCCCACGTGCGTATAAGGTGTCGTTCCTGTTGAAAATACTAAAACTATGCTCCGAGAACGTTTTGATTTACAACGCTAAAACCAGGGGCTTGATTCCCCGCAGTGGACACAGTAGAGAGCCCAATGTGGCTGTACTCTAAAAGAAGAAAACACACATGCTATAAAAAATTATACAGAGTATAAAGAGCAAGTTCCGTGAGTATTTAATGAGGACTGTTTGTTAATGACATGGCTACTAAAACTATCTGCTGCCGTCCTTAGTTTTGAACTGGTGACCACAGGGAAAGCAACTACACAATTACAGCTCTGGGACTATTCTTTATCAACGAGTAATGGGATTGATCGTAACGATATAACACTCCCACGACTAAATAAGGATTTTCGGTGCTGAGTTGCGATTCCGCAACCCGCAGATTGCGAGTCTAGCACCCTAACCACTAGGCTATTCCATAACTTCAATGAAGACCCAACTTATCTTAAAACTGTATCTCTACAACAGTGCACAAATAAACCGACGGAAATAGATTTTAATTTAAAAAAATACAATATCGTTCTTATTACCATGACTTTAACCGCCAGATACTTTACTTAGAGAGCAGGCAGCAATAATGTTACAACTTCTTTCCATAGTCTCAATAAGACATTGTTAACTAAACGAGTTTTTTTCTATGCTTTCTTATTGATGAAATGTGTTTAAGGATATTTATTTATCTTTTTTGACTTTGTCCATTGTTTTGAGTGACAAGGGTTTCGAAGAAAAAGGACCCTTGCCAGTAAGTAGGCTGAAACAAAAGACATTGACCAATGACCAGACCATTACTTTGGATTACATGGGTTTTAAAGCAAAATCATCTCCCATTAGTAAGCAGGCCAAAACAAAAGACATTGGCCAATGGTCACACCTCTTTTTTTTTGGATTACACAGGTTTTGAAGAAAAATCATCTCCCATTAGTAAGCAGGCCAAAACAAAAGACATTGGCCAATGGTCACACCTCTTTTTTTGGATTACACAAGTTTTGAAGAAAAATCATCTCCTATTAGTAAGCAGGCCAAAACAAAAGACATTGACCACTGACAAAGCCTTTTCTTTGAAGTGGACCCAGTTCATGCCAAAGGTTTCACTTTTCATTCGAGAAGACTATATAGAAATCATATTACTGCTCTCGTTAGCTGTGTTTGTTTGTTTGTTTGAAGTTAAGCACAAAGCTACACAATGGGCTAGCTGTGCTCTGACCACCACGGGTATCGAAACCCGGTTTCTAGCGTTGTAAGTCCGCAGACATACAGTTGTGCCACTGGGAGGCCATTAGCTGTGTGCGAAACGCAATGGCGTAGTGGCAAATAAAAAGTGGGTAAACTTCACCTGTGTGTACCCTCGACTACATCACTGATGAAATGTAAAGTACCTTCATCATTCATGCGTGAATCCTAACATTGAAATTACCTCTTTAATTAAACTCGACCTAAACTACAACATAATATAATTTTCTAGAGAGAAATTATTGCTAACGTCATTTTTTACGATACATTGTGAGTTATAGTTCGATATGAATTTTGTCCTACTCGCACAATCCACTAATCAAGAATTATGAAGATTAAATGAGTTACTTGTTGCACTTGAAGAAGTGGGTATTGGTATAGTGACTTATGCAACGCAAGTGTTGGATATACAAGACTGTTCAGTTTAAGTGAAATTAGACTCTGTGTAAGTTTAGCCATAACGGACGATTTCTAAAGTGAGTTTCATAGCTTGTATTGTAATAATAAAGACAGAAAAGAATAATTAATCTTGACAAATCGTGTTATAAAGAAATTGAACCCGCCTGTGTAGACTTTGATAAAAAAAAAAGAGACAATTATTTAAAGCTCTAGATAAAACTGTGGTAACCAACAATTATAGTGGTGATTTTAAAGTGAGTGTTGTAGTCTGTATTGCAATAACAGAGATAGAGAAGAATAATTTATCTTGTCAGAGAGTATTCTAATGTAATTGAACCTGCCTGTGTGGACTTTGACAAAAAAAAAGAAGAAACAATTATTTAAAGTTCGGGATACAGCTGTGATAACAAATAATGTCACGAACTTTTTGTATATACATTTATCTTGTTTTGAATATATTATTTTAAAACAGGTGGATTGTGTGATGTCCATTTGTTGCTGAAATTTATCGCCAATAAGTCACAGACACCTACTACAAACAATCTGGCCCTATAAAAACTTTACATTTGGCGAGCGAGCCAGGAAACTATAAAGGTAAATGATGGCAAAAGAAGACGTGAACAACAGCGGAAATAGGCTCATATACACACAATTTTAATGGTGGTAAAAATAGTGTTGAGGTTACAATTATTCCATATAGCCATGCCGATTGATTTTGATAAACAGATAGAGAGAGGTGAGCGACTTGAGCTAGAAGATAGTGATCTAATATAGTTTGTTAAACAACAACAAGAACTAGAGAGAGATATATGGGTGTCAACAGAGAAAGAGGAATAAGAATACAAACTGAGAAAGAAGAAAAGGAGAGAAAGTAGAGACTGGAAATAGAGAGAGTAAGAGCACAAAAAGAGAAAGAATAAAAGGAGAGAGAGACTGAAAATAGAGAGAATATGAATATAAATTGAGAAAGAAGAAAAAGAAAATAGAGAAAGGAGAACTGGAAATAGAGTGAATAAAAGTACAGATTGAGAAAGAAAAAAGGTGAGAGAGAGAAGAGACTAGAAATAAAGGGAATAAGAGCACAAATTGAGATCGCCAAGCTCTCCCAACAGAAGGACAAAGGTCCCAAGAATGACAATTGGATCAGGGCCAGTCGACTTAAGCTGCATAAATTTGATGAACAGAAAAATGACGGATGCTTTCCTGGAGAGATATGAAAAATTCGCCCAAAGTCAAAACTGGGCAGCCTGTCTCAGCCCACTTCTCACAGGAAAGGTCTACAAGTGTATGCAGGCATGACGTCAGAAGATGCCATGGATTATGACAAGTTAAAAGTGGTACTGATGAAATACTAAGAATGTACTGAGGAATGTTTTTGACAGAAATTCAGAGAAGCCAAACCTTAAACTGGAAAAATTGTATTTCAGTGTGTGGCACGTATACGGCGATACTTCGTAAGGTGAACTGACATGGCCAAGTGTAAAAATAGTGTGAAGGACTGGCAGATCTACTAATATGTGAACAGTTCATGATCACGTGCTTCATGACATGTCAATATATCGAAAGGAAAGAGCACCAAAAGACGTGGACAAGATGATGATGAAGAACGACAGAGCCAGGAGTTTAATGAGAGAAGCTTTATTTAAAGAGCTATAAATATGTTTGACTTATGAAACAATATGACCATTAGGAATTTAATTTAAACATCACATTTATCTCTCTACTTTTAATAAAGTATAGATATTAATATACGATTTGTGCTTTCTCGGTAATCGAAATTCTTGAATGACATGATATTGTAGTAAAACAGATATTTCTGAACGTGCATTCCAATTTGAGTTTGAGAGACTTTAAAATTGAACACTTAATAAAACCTTAATTGGTAGTAACTGTCATGATAATAAGTTACTTTAGGTTACTGTATTAAAAGTATACAGAAACCTCCTTCAAAAGAACTATTAAATCCTTTACTTTACCGCATTGAATTTTAAGATAACGATTTAGGTATTCTAATGAACGAGTTACACGTTAATAATTGATGTTTTTAATTCTCGAGAAAAGGTTGGGAATGCTGATTTTAATAGAAATAACAAGAGAAAAAAAAAGGAAGAACACCAACTGAAAATAGACTGAGAAAATGATGACCAGTGTTGAAAATTCTTTTAGTTTTTAAACAAAACATACTCACCAAAATGGGCTTACTTTTCAAATGTCAATGCAAGCCATAGAATCTGTTTAACGTCCTGACTTTTTTATTCCTTATAGTCATTTTCAATACCTTATATTTGATATTAATTCACGTTGCATGTTCTTGAATTTGTTTGTCCGCAAACCCATTCACAGTTTTGAAGCTTGTAGGAACAAACTTGGTAGGCGGATTCTGGGTGACCCACATTTGTCCTTATCTATTGGACGTATCCCCTCCTACTAAGGAGGTACCAGTGGAGCTAAAAATGTGCCCAGAAAGTCAGCCATGCGCGATGGGAATCTTGGAGTAGGTTTTGGGGATCACTGAACCTAAATATGGAATCGGAGTTTGAGTTATTTCTCCCTGCAGGATCCCGGGGGCGCTATATTTGAAACTGTGTTCATACTCAAACTCACAAGCTAGCAGGACCAAACTTGGCAGATGTGCTCAGGCATCATGAGCGGGTTTCCTAACTTGGTTTGTTTTCGGTTACCCCTTCCCTACAGTAGCTATAAAAGTAAATGGGATAATGAGGAGCTTGATCGGTATATTGGGGTTTCTGTGAGTTATGAGGGGGGGGGGGGCTTTGAAACCAGCAGCAGAGCTCTGTTATTTTATACTAGTAATGGCAAACACTGGTTTTCAGTGTTGTTGTTTGTTTTTACTACATCAGAAGTCACGGGTTTTTATCTAATTGTTGAACATCTGGCTAATGCAAAAAAAAAAAATGTACTTTTCTCTGAACAATTCTATAAAGAAACAAAAATGTAAATCAATATATACTCCGTTATTACGCATATTAGTTCTGTCGTCAATGTGACAACGAAGATCTATTACTTACTTTATAAGATATTTAACACGATTGTATCAGCTTATCTCTTTTTCTGTGTTCATAAGACTACAACTACAAATAAAATCCCTTCTAAATTGAATTTTTTAAAGACCCCCAGCAGTCATATCGCGTGATAATCTTCTGAGATATAAGTATATTTCAACATTTGATGTAATAATGGTTCTTTACTAAATGTATCAATGCGTTTGAAAAAGGCGAGTAAGGAAATATACCGAAATGAACTTACAATTATGCGATGACCATCTTATATTACTTCATATTCTGTTTGTGAAATTCTTTGTCTGCGAGGTCTTCTCGCGGTTTTCAGGTTAGCAGGACCAACTTAGGGTACTAAGAGGTGAGAGGGAGGGCTAAATCTCGCCTAGGAGGTCATCTAAGTATGATGGGAGTTACGGAGTAGGTTTTGAGGGTCGCTTAACCCGTATCTGACATCAGTGTTCCTTGCTCCTTCGAAATACTGGGGACAGGGTGTTCGAAACTGTGTTCACAAGCTAGCGGGAACTAACGAGGCACGCGTATTCAGGTACCACGCGCTGGTGTTCTAATTGAATTTGTTTTCCGGTATGTATTCCTCTTGGGGTAGCTATAGAAATAATTGGCGATGATTAAGTCATTTGTGGATCATGAAGTACCTTTGAACCACGAAGCGGAGCGCAGATTTTCCATACTAGTGTAGATAACACTTCTTCTATTTGGTTGGTGCAGAAGAGTTTTAGAAAAACGAAAATAAGAACATGTTTCTCATAAATGCCGTTGTTACTTAACATAAAATTTCATTAAATGTGCTTAAGAAAGTTACAACCAGTGATTGAATTTTTTTCCACTTTTCTGTCCTTAGTTTTCTCAACTGCTGCACATTCAGCGTAGACTGGGAAAAGAGAATTTTCCGTTGATGGAGCAAACGTTCTATCCGAACCATAAAGAAATGGTAAGTCAGTTTAGTATGTGTCCTGTAGTAATAAGAGCGTAGACTAGGAAAAGAGAATTTTCCGTTGATGGAGCAAACGTTCTATCCGAACCATAAAGAAATGGTAAGTCAGTTTAGTACGTGTCCTGTAGTAATAAGCATTTCCAACTTTATGAACTAAAAGGTTAATGGAGTAATAATGCCAGACGTTATCATGGCTATATAGCAATTTTAGTGGCAAAATGTATCAACGAAACGCTGGCCTGATTATGTGCAGGGGTTATGATTCAAAAGACAATTACGTGGAACTACAAAAAAAAGTTTAAATTGGGCCACTTTTCATGGCTAAAAAGAACTCGAAGCTTAAGACTAAACTTGATTTTTTTATCACAACTGAAGTGGTGTTTAACACTGTGAAACCATCACCATATTCGAAGAAAAGCACACTTAATTGTAACCATTTAAGGCTAGGTAGTGTTTAAAACTATGAAACTATCAATATATTAAAAAACACACACCATGGTAACCATATCAGGCAAGGTGGTATTTACCGTTGTGAAACTATCACCTTCTTCCAAGAACGCACACTCCATTGTAACCACATCAGGCTAGGTGGTGTTTAACATTATGAAACTATCACCATCTTCCAAGAAACACACACTCCATTGTAACCAAATCAGGCTAAGTGGTGTTTACCATTGTGAAACTATCACCATCTTCCAAGAAAAACACTCCATTGTAACCATATCAGACTAGGTGGTATTTAACATTATGAAACTATCACCATCTTAAAAAACTAAAACGAAACACTCTAATGCCATCTTAGCCAAATCGGGTTAGATAGCTTTTAATACTAATGAACTTTCACCATCTTCCTAAAATACAAAGTGTTATAACCATATTGGGCTAGGTTGAGTTTAACACTATGCGACTACCACCATCTTCCTAAAGACACATACCGTCATAACCACATCGGGCTAGGTAGTGTTTAACACTATGCGACTGCCACCATCTTCCTAAAATACAAAGTGTTATAACCACATTGGGCTAGGTTGAGTTTAACATTATGCGACTACCACCATCTTCCTAAAGACACATACCGTCATAACCACATCGGGCTAGGTAGTGTTTAACACTATGGAACTGTCACCATATTCCTGAAAAATGCACATGCAATTATAACTTCCATATGAACGAGATAGTAAAGCTTAAGACTGTGTGTTATTATGCAGTCAAAGAGTAAATTACATTTTAACTATTAAACGCACTAAAAATAACATGCACAAAAAAATTCTAAACAGTATACAAAGACCAGTAAAAGCGTAAAACATAGATATACGTGGTTACGATATGATCGTGCAAGTTATATATATATATATCTACAAAAATCGATAATTACAATCTTGCTCAACCATTTATGTATGCTACTACGGTGACATGTCATTGCAGATCCGAGATATACGTGGTTACGATATGATCGTGCAAGTTATATATATATATATATATATATCTACAAAAATCGATAATTACAATCTTGCTCAACCATTT